TTTGTCATCTTGCTATCACTTTGAAGACCATCTAGCACCATTTTATAGTATGGTGTGTGTTGAGTAAAGCAAGTTCCGTTGCGTTTTCCGTCGAAAATTGTGAGCATCAATATGTTAGCTAACAAAAGGCCAAAATGAACATTTATTGAATATTGGCGTCCTATACAACCAATCTCCATTACCACCAGCATAATACAACCTTTCCTAAGTAAATTCACTTAATTTCTACTTTCATCCTAGTGGAAATCGCACATATTCACCATTTTCCGAAAAATGCCGCTGCGCAGGAGGTAACCTCTCCCTGTGCATGCAAACTTGTTATGCATAATTTTCCATGAAAACATCTCCGATCCATACCGAAATAATAACAGTTAGTTTGCGAACACATTTTCTTACACGATTCAAACAAAAGTTTCCACGGGAAATTATTAGTTTTTCTTTATGTACCGATTTGCCCCAAAAATCGTCTGTTTTACTTGAAGAATTTGGAAATTATCCTCCTTCAAGTAGTTTTCACTTCGAAATGTAGGTGGCGAAAGCATGAAAAAGTTTCACTGCAAGACGCCAATACAGGCCTTTACAAGAGGAGGTTGAAAAGTATACGCATTTTATACATAAAACCAATCGATTTTATAATGCGTGAGCGTTCACCCTAATAAAAAATAACCATAAACGAACGATAACCCAAATTATTGAACTATTCCATAAATGGTTTGGATGATACCCAGAACACGTCGTTAAGCAAATTAACCATACAATTTTTATTAGGGCACTCATAGTTGGAATTTTTTAGGCCGCGGCCAGGGTAGACGCGACTCACGCAAGGAATAATAATAAATAATAAGATTCTTTTGAATTGGTCGCGTCGCGTCTACCCTGGCCGTACCCTTAATCGATTCCATTCCTTTTGCAGAATCCATCTACATAGGTAAAATTTCATCATTGCCATTTTCTTTACACCGGAACTGTCATAACTTGAGCTGTCAAATCGTTCCATTTTCTACATGCTTCGCTGCGGCTTCGCGATGACGAAATCGTTCCCGTTCAGCACAGTCTCTCGTGATCGCCGGCAGTGTAGAGTTGTGTTCGTGTATCGCTCTCCCGAAAAGTGTGCGGTGCAAATTATTTTCTGGTGAAGAATCAGCTTCTAGTGGAAAAAAAACAAAATCAAAGATGAATCGCCGTAATAATCCCCGTGGTGCCCAGAACCGCAACCAGCAGGTACAGCAGCAGTATGACCAGAGCTTCGTAGCTTCCAACGGAAACACCAACAATCAGGTATTTGCTTTGTGACAGATTTGGGGATCTCATGCTACTTGCTCTCGCATCAGCGCCAGACACCGGCCATTTTCTTTTACAATCATTCTCATCTTTTCCATCAGAAATTATTTTCGTTGTAATCTCGTTTTTTTTTAATCATTCATCGATACTTTTTTGGCAGGACGTCTAATATGGGGCGAAGTGGTTGAAATGAGAGTAAATAGAAATTCTTTTCCTAATATAGTTATGTTCATTGTCCGCAAGGCGATTCTTCGACCGGGCGAGGCTCTCCTTCCGCCCTCTGGGTGGAGTAGGGCCTCCCCGGCCGGAGACCGTTCACCTCTGAATCGTTCTGGACCCACGAACGCAAAACGATCCGTAGAGTCTCCCCCTCCTCCCCCGAACCCTTTCTGACCTCACTCGCATATTCACATTCGGTGTGCGAGGAAGAGTAGAAAGAAAATCTGTCGGTTCTAGAAAACCAGTTTGCAGCGCAAAATCATCATGGATGGCATGGTGCTTCGGAAAATCCGGTGAAAATCTTCAAGCGGCGCGGCAGGCAGGCAGACGTTCGCATACGCACTCGCGTGCAGATTTTTCCCGTCCGTTTTCCAAGATGGCGTCGACAAGTTTTCTTTCCGCATAGCTTTTCTATCTGTTTCTTCCCGTTCCCGTGAATCTACCAAAGCCTCGGTAACTTACCTATCCCCACAGTCGAGTGTACATTCGCGCGTCCTCAGTACTACGTACATAGGCTAGGTACTACTACTACTACTACTACTACTGCAGCAGTACTAATATCTAGCTGGCCACGAGCGTTCCCAAACAGAGAAGTAGAGAGAGTGGCTTCTGCGTCTGATGTGGTTGAAGTTGTTGCTGCAATTATGTTATCGATTGGCGTTGTTCGGGTGCTTGAAAGACACCGCTCTTGCTATGTAAAGGGATTTTCGCCTCCTGGAACTACTGCCAAGTCCACGGACAGCAGGGAGGAATGTTGTTAAATCAATTATTATTTTGTTTATTAGGGAGTAAATGGGGGTCAGTGGGTGATGGATTTTTTTGCCGGTTCAATGTTCGTTATTTTCCGCGGTGTAGCATTGTGCTGCGATGGTGACCGCCTCGCCGACCAAACAACTGTCGGTGCCGTCTGTTCGGTTCTTTGACAGCTCCCACCCAGCCTGTTGTTTGTTATTTACCACTAACTTCATTGTTTGCATTGCTTCGATGAAGACTTTGTTGCCGGAGAGGTTACGCAGTGGAGGAATGTTTCGGTGAGGTGCGTTTGTTATTTATTTAGGCGAATTAACGATTAACGAAAAATGACGTTGGTATCAGACTTTTAACTAAAAAAATTGACGGGTATTTTTTTTTAACCTTCTCCGATGTACATTATGCACAGTCCGGGATCTTCTAGAATCATGGAATTTTTGGTTTACTAAATCCAGGATCTTGAAATTAAAGTTTAAAATAGAGACCTTGTAAATAAGGTTTCTATGATTAAAATCCTAAATATTTTATCTAATAAATTCTTGTAATCTTCATAAATGTCCGGGATCTTTGAAATGTGTCTGAGCAATTCCATGCCAACTGACGAATCCGTTTTATGTTTCCCTCCGAATTCGTCGAAACTTCGCACCAATTGTTCACTACGGGCAATGAACCAAGTTTGTGTCGGAATTAGGCCATTACGACTCACGTCTAGCTTTCCTGAAATGGACCAAAATCGTAGAACATCAACTAGTATAAGAGTGCCAGTTATGGCATTAGTGCTCCAGTGTTTGGCCCTAGTGACTAGCTCAAATTAGAAATAAATTTGCGTAGATATATAGCAAAATCTACGTTCTATCATTGCAATGCATTAAATTTGTTGATAAATTAATAAATTTAATTTAAACTTAGAACCAAACACGGGCACACTTAGCCTTTTTAGTACAAATTTTGAATGGTTCGGAACAACTTTGATTCTGGCTCCTTTTGACGTTCATATGTTTCGAGTCTGCTTCTCCCTCCCAGGTCAGCATCTAGACCGATCAGTGGTTCGACTGGCAAAGAAGTAGAAGTGCCCAGTAATGTGAAATCATTTGCCAGGACAAGATCTAGCAAACGTCCGTTTCGGGTCGGAAAAGTGTTTACTTGAGTAAATCCGAGTAAGTTAAATCCGTCCAAAAGAGCACAGCAAGCCACCGGCATATTCGATAGCAGTGGATTAATGAATGGTGGGCCGCTGTAGGTGAAGAGTCACTGCCACAGCTTGGTTGTAGTCCCCAAATACAAGCTCGAGACTCAATCGAGCCTAACGATTCCACATGCTCACGGGTGATCGTGCACTAGTTTTTTTTTTCGATCTGGATGTAGGTAGACAGCACCAATACTGATAATGTTTTGGAGAAATTCTAACGGCAATTCAGAGCTGTTCCAGTAGACTTTAGATGGGCGCGGTACTTAGGTAGCTGGTTATTCTCGTTGAGACAGCAATCAAAACGTCTCCACTGTTCATGTTGCAGAGTTCCTTTTTCAGTCCATTAAATTATGGTGCAGTGCTGTTCGATATAATAGCGCATGCCGATTTTCATACAAAAATGACAACTTTAACATGTTGTCATTTTGTTCTCTTAAGATCAATTGAGCTGAAACGTTCGCCACAGAACTACAAATATGTTCAGTTTTAGGATTACAAAATACCTAGGTAAAATTGTTTTAAGTAAAAGCAGTTTAAAATACAATACAATCATACTTTTAAGGAGTTACTGGTCCTGGACCAAGCCCACAAATGGCTGATTGACTCTGCCACCTCGAATTTTACACGGCACACATCTCGGAAACGGGGCCTCCCTTAGCTCACTCGGTAAAGGCGCAGCTACAAAGCAAAACCATGCTGGAGGTGGCTGGGTTCGAGTCCCGATCCGGTCTTGGAATGTTTCGGGTTAGAAAATTGCTCGACTTCCCTGGACATACAGTGTATGATTGCGCTTGCCACACAATTATACTAATGGTACAGACGGCATCGTAAGCTCTCAATTAATAACTGTGGAAGTGCATCTAGAACACTAAGTTGAGGGCACACAATAAGCTAATATGCGAAAAGGAATAAGCTTGAAATCCGAACAAGAAGAAGAAACACATCTCGGAAACTACAGAGACTTTATGTATGAAATTGAAATGATCACTCGATGTAGTGAAAGTAAGCAGACCCATAGAAAATAAGACTGCCATAGGTTTTCATCTTAAACGTGTTCCTCTGAAACCATCTCTTTTTTGGGTTAAATATTTACTGACCTTGGGATGACTTAACTGTATAATTTGATTTACCTCAAGTAGAGCTTGTATATTTGGTAAATTTTAGTCAACTTATAAAAATTACCTTTAAAACAGTTAAGTAGCAAGTAGTAGTGCCATCGATAACATTTTGCCTGCAATACAACATACAGCCCATTTTTCAAACACGCAACCGTTCGCACCACACGACTAGAATTCGTAGCTTCTCGGCTAGTCTCCGGATTCGCGCCCGCAGCACGAGCACGCAGAGGAATCCCGATAACGACGACAACGCGAGAGTTCGTGACACTAGGTGAAGCATTCGAATTCTTAGCCGTTCCACCTCTCTCCTTCTCAAACGCAAACACACAAACGCGCACACACATACACACACACACGTTCAATGATAATGATGTGTGTAGTGATTGCCGATTGTTCCACTCCGTCTCTTCTTAGAACAAACTACTTATTTTTGTTGTGCCAAAAATCAAAACTCGTTTTCGTTGGGGTACAGAAACACTGCTCCCTCGTTCTTTCCCAGTCAGGGATGAGGAGGAGCTCACGAGAGCACACGCAATAGAAAATGGCCATAGCTATAGAGTGGAGGAAAGATGCCCTGCTTCGCCGGAAGTCCGCGTGTGGTGCGCTAGCTAGAGCCCTGTGGAGAGGAAAGACACACAACGTGCGACGAATGAGATCCGGGGCCTGGTGAATCCTTCTGCGCGCGCTCCTCCCAGCAGCAATACCCAAAACGAAAGAAACACATGGCGGTAATGTAGAACGAGTATGTATTTGCTAGACACACACATTTTCAAATAACCAATCACAAGGTCTCTTTACACCACCGGTAAGAGAGCAGCAACACATCGATTTATTGGCGTGCGCGCATTTTTCTCCAGAACAGAACTAGCGACAGGTGCGCCACCGGAACTTCTCTGAAAGCGAAAACTCCACGCATAGCATCACTAAAAATCGAGAATCTCTCGTTGCAGTCAGTGTCAGTAGTTTTGCCGAGTCCGAGAGTGTATGCGCCGCTTGCCAAAAAATTGAGTGCGCAACTCCCAAAAAAAAAAAACCTGCCCATACCCCCGAAGTTTCGATTCGCGAGAACCAGGATAACGTCATGGTAGTAATATTCTGTCTTTTGTCTTATCCCTAGCAACAAGAACAACCGCAAGTGGAGCCAAAAGTTGAAGAACCTGTTCAGAACAACAACGATACCATGCCGGTCGATGATGCAGGCGAAGACTCCGAGGGAGGAATCGGCGCCAAGATGCGCAAGATCTTTGCCAACCGCAAGAATCTGAGCGCGGCCGATCGTAAGCGTCTCGGTGAGTGCCTATCAAACTATCCGTTACCTTTGTCAAAGATTCAATTTGGTCTTCCTGCCGAGAAAAAAAAAATGATTACAAACACTGCGCAAATCTGAGAGCTGTTCGTTTTGAAAGTTATAACAAATTGGTACGGCAGTTCACGACGTGATTTGATTGTCTACTCTATGATTTCCTGGTCGAAAATATGTGGTTCTAAAAGCCTTGGTCCTTAAATACTAACATCACACTTTCCATCCGATCTTACAGAGAAGGAGCGCAAGGCTCGCCAGCTGCGCCGTTTGCGTAAGCTGCTGACTCCGAAGAATGCCGTCGTGGCTCTCCACGAGCTGCAAGGACCCGGAATGAGCGAGTTCACCATCAACACCAATGGCCAGGAGACGACGGCTGAAATCGTGGTCAACAACGTGCGCTACGAGGCCACCGCTCCGAACAAACATCTGGCCAAGGCTCGTGCTTCGGAAAAGGCTCTGCGTGATCTGGTCATTGCCCAGATGGCCAAGGCTCGTCAGACTTCTGAAAGCAAGGCCCCTGCTGCGAACAATGGCAACAACGGTAATGCCACCAGCAATGAAGATGTTGAAATGTCCGACGTGTCGGAAAGCGATGATGTACCAATGTTGCATTTGGCTTCGTACGCCTTGTACAAGCTGTTCAACGAGTGGCAGAATGAGGGTTTCGAAATTCCGGCCATCAAGCCCGCCAAAGCGCCAGTCAAGCTCACCGAAACCGGTGTCCATCCATTGGCCCCGAAGGTGCCAAAGACCAAGGCTGATATTCCCTCGGATGCGCCTACCCGACACCCAACTGCTCTTCTTGCATTTGTAAGTTACCTCAATCCGCAAGTCATCCCCACAGTCCACAAATTATTAACCCATTCGTTTCTATCCACAGATGCGCCCGCAAATCCCGTACGAGGATCTTGGCTCGAACAACAGCAACGATCCGGCCAAGCGGGAGTTCTCCGTCGGAGTGACTGTCGATGGGCAACGTTTCATTGGTAAGGCCCGTTCGAAGAAATTGGCACGCAAGGAGGCTGCCGCCGCCGCATGCCGACAACTGTTTGACGTGCAGTTTGTCGACACTGGCGCCACCGAATAAGTCCAATCTCTTCGATAAAATAGTACACACAAAACAGTTAAATTATGAAAAACCAACTCCCCCTCCATAGTCCCCGCTTTCCCTTGAATGAATGCACCTGAGGGAAGCGCTCCCGCAGACACATTCTTTTATTTTTATTTTAAAAAGACGATAGAACCTTATAGGCTCATTGTGTATGTAAAAGTATAGGTTTTAAGTTTTTCTTCCGCGTGCGGAAGGTCGCGCGAAATTAAGCATCTTGGTTTGTACTGTTCTGACATTTTAACATTGTGTAATCCAACATTTGACAAAATGTACTAACACATGCAATGCGTCTCATCTGAGTTCTCGATCTTTGGCCGCCGATGGTCGAGGAGACGATGGGAACGACGCAATTCAAGTATTCCAAGTTTGTGAACAACAGTGTGAATCATTTAGACAGCACTTGACGATACGATTTGATTGTAGAATATATAGGTACTACTCTGTCTTAATCTATAGAAGAGCATGCGGTGCGGACGTCTTGATTTATCCGAAATCCTTTGGGTGGGATTGCTCCAAAGCTTAATCTACCTGTGCACCAACTCACAGAACGTTACAAAATTTCAAAATATTGTTTTTAGCGGATAGATAACAGTGAAACTGGATAATTCTGTGCATTTTTGCTAACGTTTTGAGTATAAATCAAGTTTTCAAAGTTGGTGCACATGTAAAAAGTGAAGTTACGCGACGTCACTGACGTTTGACTGAAGAAGACGGCTGCCTACAACTAACGATAGCCTTATATTCTCGTGTTCCTTAAAAATGTGTTGTCTACACGGAAACCGCAAAAATGACTATAAAGTACTCAATTTTGACTATAAAGTATGCATATTCGGCTAAAACGGGACTACACCTAAAATGTGTGTATTTTTTACACCTTTTATGAGTATCTGTTACTCATAAATGCATAAATTTTATTCACTTTTGTACTAGCAATTACTCATAAATGTGTAAAATTGTAGTCATTTTATGGGTAGTCCCGTTTTCCCTGGGCTTTGGCAACCCCTTTTTTTTCATACAGGGGGGAATCTGCTCACAGACACCTGAGAAGGAACTCAGGGTGTGGGAGAATTTCACTCCCGACCCACTAAACCTTACCCTGTGCGCTTGGCCCTTGACCTCCCCGGAACCGCCCGAAGGCATTACTTCGTGGGAGGGGCCGCTGTAGCGCTATGGCGCCTCTAGCAATACTCTCGACCTAGTCGGGCAGTAGGCAACTGCTGCTCGGCACGCCACTGTCGTTGTAATTCCGAAACTATGTGGGTGACCGCAGTCACCACCGCGCTCCAGTTCTCGGTGGTACCACACATCCTAGGAACGATGCTATCCGGACTGGTATCCGCTCCGCATAGCGCTCGATACTGGCTCGAAATGTGGACAGGCGAACACAACGTGTTCGGCGGTCTCCTCGACACCAGCACACGTGGGGCAGATGGGAGTACTTGCATGTCCGAACCTATGCAGGTAGCTCCTAAAGCAGCCATGGTCTGACAGGAACTGTGTCAGGTGGAAGTTTACTTCCCCATGGCGCTTGTTGACCCAGCTTGATACGGAAGGTATCAAGCTTTAAGTCCACCTCCCCTTTGTGGAGTTTTCCCACTCCGATTGCCATCTCGCGGTCGACACAACTCGCGCGTTGTTGCGCACCCCTCGAACGGTCCTCGCGTCATAGCACACCACATCCTCCTTAATGATAAGGCTGATTGGCATCATCCCTGCTATGACACAGACGGCCACTCTCGAGATAGTGCGGTATGCACTGGCCACCCTCAAGCACATAAGCCTGTGTGTGCTCTCTAATTTCCGCCTGTGGCAGTCAATATCCAGTACCGCAGCCCACGCAGGGCCGCCGTATCTGAGGATAGATACTATGCGTTTACTGGCATTCACTGCCGAGCTGTTTGACATCATACGGGATAATGCCCCCACAGCCATAGACGCTCTCTTGCAGGCGTACTCGACGTGGCAGCCGAAGCTGAGCTTATCATCGAGCATAACCCCCAAGAGTTTCAAAGAGCGCACAGACCTAATTGTGCTTCCGCCGACTGTCAACGTCGCATGCTGTACTGACATGCGATTGTTGACTACGACCACTTCCGTCTTGTGATGGGCGAGCTCCAGTTTCCTGGATCTCATCCATTCCTCCACAAGCTTGACGCAGTGAGCCGCTGTCAGCTCTACCTCTTCGAGGGATTCCCCGTAGACTACCAGCGTGACATCGTCGGCAAAACGTACAATTTTCACGCCTACCGGGAATTTTATCCTCGTTTTTAACAGTCCATCGTACATGACGTTCCATAACACCGGGCCCAGAATGGAGCCTTGTGGCACTCCTGCGGTGACTCTAACGCATTTTTCGCCATCTTCTGTGTCGTACGTCAACACACGATTATGGAAGTAGCTTTCCAGAATCTCATACAGCCCTCCGGGAATTTGGAGCTGGTGTAGCGAGCGGGCTATCGCCCCCCAGCACGCGCTGTTGAACGCGTTCTTCACATCTAAAGTTAACACCGCGCAGTAACGAATGCCCCTTCGTTTCCGGTGGACCACCTCTGCCGTCTGGATGACGTCGCGGATGGCATCCACCGTGGATCTGCCCTTACGGAACCCATACTGGCTGCTTGACAGGCCGACTAGTCTACACCTTCGGTGTAGGCCGACAACCTGTTGAGGATGACCCTCTCAAGCAGTTTCCCAGTGGTGTCCAACAAACAAATGGGCCTGTATGCTGACGGGTCCCCAGGGGGTTTTCCTGGCCTCGGGAGCAGCCCCAGCTTCTGCCGCTTCCACGCATCTGGGAAGATGCCTACGTCCAGGCAGGTCTGAAAAACAGAACGGAACATGTCTGGATTTTCCGCAACGGCCGCCCTCAGAGCCACAACCGGGATCCCATCTGGGCCCGGGGCCTTGCCCACCACCAGCGACTTGGCAATACCGCCAAGTTCACTGTTCGTCACTCTAGACACTTCTCCCTAATCCGCGGCCAGGAGTCTACGTCCCTACGCGGGAACAGGAACCCAACGATCGGAGCCAGTACCGCTGGTGATCTCTCCGGGGGTGCCGTCACGCCGCGGGTCTTTGCCATGACCACTTTTTCCCGAGATTCAGTCGTACGAGCTCGTTGCATCCTCCTTCTCGCCTGGAGGCAAGACGCCCTGAGGATAGCAATCGACTCGCTCCACCAGTACACCGGTCTATGGCCATGCCTGGTATAGGCTCTCCTAGGCATGGTTGTATCGCACGCCCTTGTCAGCGCTGCTACCAGTTCTTCCCCAGTCAGATCCGGGGTTATTCGCTCCCGCCCCAGTGCTTCGCCGAAGACCTCTTCCTCGAAGAACGACGTCCGCCAGCCTCGAGCGCAGGAAGGATTTCCTCCTGCCACTCGCCTCTCACCTGGCCCCACACTGTACCGAATCGCCTGATGGTCACAATGGGTGTAACCCTCATCGACCCTCCAGTGTAGGTTGCCCTCCAAACTCGGGCTGCAGTATGTCACGTCGATGACGGATTCTGCACCATTCCTTCTGTAGGTACTGACCGAACCGGTGTTGGCAGGTACAACGTCCAGTTTGGCCATTGCCTCCAGTAGGATGCATCCTCTCTGGTTGGTGTAGTGGCTGCCCCACTCCACCGCCCATGCGTTAAAGTCGCCCGCAATGACCACCGGTCTTAGGCCGACAAGTACCGCAGTGAGTCTGTCCACCATCTGCGAGAACTGCTCGATAGACCACCTGGGCGGAGCATAACAGCTACTTAAATATACTCCATTAACTCTGGCGATCACGAATCCCTCGCTCGAGTTGGACACGACTACCTCCTGAATGGGGAAGCTCCCCATCGTGCATATCGCCTCCATCCCCGACGCGTCCGTGACCCAATTCCCGTTGCCGGTTGGGACGCGGTACGGATCGGAGATGATTGCGACATCCGCTGCCGATTACCACAGCAGTTGCTGGGTAGCCGAGCAGTGGTTCAGGTTCAACTGCGCTACCTCAAACATGGCTTAGCATTGCTCTTTGCCGGGGCAGCATTGCTCTTGGCCCATGGGCAGCATGGGCCACCTACCATGTGGTTGGTAGAGGATTTCCCTTTCCCCGCGCGTATAGTGCACCTCGGCGGCTTTTGGCAACCTTGTGCCTTATGGCCCTCCGAGCCGCACCATCTGCACAGCTTGCTTTTGTCGGTGTTCTTGCAGTCCCGAGCCACCACATAGGGAAATTTACGTATTTTCGGCAACCTAAGCAGCGACCATCTTTCTATAGCCTTTTTCTCTAAGGAACGCACACATATGCAGTATTACAATCTTTTGCTGCCAGCTGCTGTAACAATTTCAGTCGAAAGAATTGTCAAAAACTGTTTTGAAACGCTTTTACAAAGCTCCAATCTTCTCTAGTTAGAGCGACTATTGTAGGCAATATCTTTTTATTCGACAACCTCTCTATTTGAGCTGCGTGTTAAACAGCTGTGCTTTCATCGGCAACTCGAAATCAGCAGCATTTTGTAGTGCGTGTATTTCAAGTGTTTTCTTAGGAAAATCCATTGAAATAAGCGTTTCAATTTGGGTTGCCAAAAATAGTCTGTCATGCCGAACCCGTCATTTTCCCTAAACCCTTTTGAATTGAATTTATTTCTATGGGTATGCACGTTTGGAAAGTATCATCACAAAGATTCTGCACTCGGTCTACAGCTTATGAGCGGGAAGCGTTGTTTTTGTTTTTTTTTATCTTCTTATAGACTCACTTCTTCGAAATACGAAGCGAAAGACAAATCAAGAATTAAGCACAAGGCCTTCAAGAAAACTAACAACACGAAGTCTGGAAATGGCAATGCATCATTCGAAACGTCAAGTATTTCAAGAATATCGGGTGAGACCAATCTAATTGTATTTAATCTTATTTTTGTGTAGTAGGATATTCAATTGAACCGTTCCGGGTTATTATGATGGTGTATGATCTTTTAAGCATTTTTCCTAAATTTTGGGATACAAGGGTTTAAAAATTATGAAATCATAAAACGAGATTTACAGGTATTGCAAAACATGATCCTCTGTACGTTTACTTTCCAACTTTTACTAATACTACTGTTACTCCGACTATCCCCTACTTGAAACACTATTCCTCCCTATCCGGCATCTTAAGCAGGATTCAATTGATCCCTGTGATTATTATTCTGTGGTGCCAAATCTTCACCTCTACCCTTGTGCTGTATGGACAGTAGAGTGTTTCAAAATAGGTCAAATCTGGAATTTCAAACGCTACCCTCTGGAATGGTAGTTTTGGGGGTCAGAATCACCCTGTCAAAATTTGAAGTCATTTGGTTCACGGGAACCCCTCGCTCAAACGGCTTGAAGTTTGTATGGGGAAAACCGACAAAATGTATGGGGGAGCGAGCCACTTTCACATTCGCGGCTCTAGGTGGCGCTGTAGTGGGTCGATTTTCTTCGTGTACAAAA